GGCATGCTCGGGAGGGGTGAAGCAGAGGTGAGCTGGGTGGGAGCTGCCGCATGGCTTCCTGGGCCGGGGGGTGGGGAGCCGCCGCGGGGAGGGAGGGGAGCTGCCGCAGGGTTCCCCACCCCAGCTCACCTCTGCTATGCCCCCTCCCCGAGCACACCGCCCCCGCCGGCAATGACAGTAATTGCATGGAGTGGCCGCTGCGCTGGGAGAGGGAGTCTGAGCCGCACGTGTCAGTGCGCCGCCGGCAGCCCAACCCAGGAATGCTGTAAAAAAAAAAAATTGGGGGCACCGCTGTTTGGCGCCCCCCAAATCTTGGCGCCCTAGGCAACCGCCTAGTTTGCCTTAATGGTAGCACCGGCCCTGGCTGGGGCCGGAGTTGGGGGCAGAATGGGGTTGGGTGGTGTTCCCTCCCCACCCCCAATGGGGGCTGGTCCCAAGGCCCACTGCTCCCCCCCCCCCAAATGTTCCTTCTGTATCACCGCAGGGGAGCACTCTCCAGTTTGGGGATGTGTGTGACAGGTACACTATTCATTGTAACTAAACAAGTAATACATGGATTGATACTTTTTTTTTTGCAGTGCTCTGGAAACCCAAAAGGTGCGATTACTCATTCTAACACCGAGTTAAAAACAAGCCTGACCACTTATACCTGGCTGCCCCCAATCTCTGGTTGCCCTGCCGTTATTACATTCAGGTAAGTAGCTTCATGAGAGAGTTCCCTTTTAAATGAAATCCCCTCCCCCTCCAATGGACATCTCAAACACGTTTTCTTCTCTTTTCTCTACCTATACATAATACAGTCAAACAGTTCAGCCGTTTAATATAGGGCAGGATTTTCAAAAGCACCTGAGTGATTCCAGAGCATAAGCTCCATTGACTTTCACGATCTTGTGCTCCTAAGCCACTTAGGTGCTTCTAAAAATGTCGCCCACAATACATTAGGGGCTCAATCAGCAGCAGGGTCTCCTCAGACAAGTGAAAGCTGCACGTAACTAATGACCGCTGATTCACACCATTCGGATTACAAATGATCTTAAAGCAGAATAATGTTGCTATACTGCAGGAATAGTATTCTGATCCTTTCTGGGAGTGGAAGGATCTTCAGTTGGGAAGCCTTCTGAAAATGTCAGCCGCAGCTCACTTTTGTGTGTGCAAGACAGGGTGGATTCCCTTTTCCATGAGGTTAGGCTTCCATTACCATTTGCTCATGAATTTATGAGCAAAGCAGCAATGCCATCACAGAAGGGCTACAATGAGTTACTGGAATATCTTTGTAGGGTGGGAGGGGGAATTCTTCCCATTTTATAACCATGTTCCACTGTTCTTTTTCCTTTTGAACAGGGCAACTGTAGCACAGTCTCGTGAAGTTTATTGGCTCGGTATCAAATCCAAAGTGATCTGGAGAGGTGAGTAATTAGTGAATGTATCATTCCAATTTAAGGCAGCGGATTGTGTAGCTAACTGCCATTAATGCAAATAGGAGTTAAAGATGCATCAAGAGAAAAGCCACTGATGTATCAGAAATGCAGAGAGTGCTAGTCTGCGTGCAATTTGCTCTGAAATTATTTTTCTTCACCATACAAGGGATCAGTTCAGTTCACTAAGTGTGCAGTTAAGTGTTGTTCTTGTCTTACATAAGAGAAACAGTACTAATGACTTATAATCTGCCCTTACATGCAGGTGGCTTGGGTGATGGTAGTAGCCTGTGATATACAGGAGGTCAGACTAGATCAGGGGTTGGCAACCTTTCAGAAGCGGTGTGCCGAGTCTTAATTTATTCACTCTAATTTAAGGTTTCGCGTGCCAGTAATACATTTTAACGTTTTTAGAAGGTCTCTTTCTATAAGTTTATAATATATAACTCAACTATTGTTGTATATAAAGTAAATTAGGTTTTTAAAATGTTTAAGACGCTTCATTTAAAATTAAATTAAAATGCAGGGCCCCCCGGACCGGTCGCCAGGACCCGGGCAGTGTGAGTGCCACTGAAAATCAGCTCGCGTGCCACCTTCGGCACGCCTGCCATAGGTTGCCTACCCCTGAACTAGATGATCTAAGGGTCCCTGCAGGTCTTAAACGCTGACTGTATAGGGGAATTGTATAAGAGTTTGAGGGATGGTAGGAGGTCTCATTTTAAGTGGAAAAGACAAGCTCTGAAACCACAAATCATACTTAATTCAAATGCCTAGAGTGAAGGGGATTTGGAACTATTCCCACTGAGTTAGCTAAGGATCAAGCCTAGGTAATTCACCAGAAAAGCACTATCTAGTTGAAGTGCTTTGACACAAACAGCACAGGTAGTATCCAAATTTTACATTAAGTGTGTCTCATCCAAAAATCAGCTCTCTTTATTGGTATTCATTTATTCTGTAGCTGCTTGGTTTAACAGCAAGAACACTTTTGAAATGTAGTTAATCCGTTCTAGTCTGACTCATGGAATGACTTCCCTGAGACAGGAGCATTATATTTTAAAACCAATATAATAAATGATAGGATTGGCCCTATCAGTCAGAAAGGGATTCAAAAGCAAGACACAAAATGTCTCAAGTTATCAGTAAGGACACACAAGGCAACTGTACACCCTTTGAAAACCTGCAACTACACAGAACATACAAGGAGTGAGGAAGTCATTTGATATGGTTGTCAGATTAATAATCAGGGTAGTAGTATAAAATGGCTAGAGCAGGAGACTAGGCACTTGTCTCACTGTGCTCCATTTTGCAACTGACTTACTGTGGGAGCTGGAGCACGTCATACAACCTCTCTGTGCTCTGGGTTTTCCATCTAATCTAGGTACAATGCACACATCTCAATCGTTGTATAAAACATGCGGTAAATACACAGTAGTTTGAAATGTTTCTTAGAAGTTAATGAATGTCCTGTTCATTGCTTCCACAATCAACTGTGCTTAGACTTTGTTAATCCATAGATGTTGGTTGTCTGAAAAACAACAGTGATTACTAGGTACTGCCACTGATTGTGAATAGGAAGTGAACAAGTGGCAACTACTCGTTGCTTTTTCCCTATAGTTAAAACAGGGTTAAAGGGGGGGGAAACTGAGGACCACACTAGTATCAATGTTGCCTCACCTGTGTAATGAAAACTAGTTCTAAATTGAAGACATTTATTTTGTTTTCCAAACTACAGATTCTAAAGCTACATGTGGTGCTGAGCAGCTTACATGGACAGTAATTATTGTGACAATGATGTCTTTCCACTTACTGCTTTTACCTGGCTACTTATATTAAGTGTTGGCGTTTCAGAGGATCTATTAAACGGCTAAGGAATAAATACAGACCCTGTATACAATCACTGCATTTGCTCCTGCCATGAAGTGGATTCTGGAAGCCTAAGGCCTTTGTCTACACACGTTATACTGTTTTTAAACTATACCAATATAGTTAAAGTAATGCAGCCCTCTAGTGCACAGTTATACTGGTACAGCTTATTCCCTACAGGCACGTTATATAAATATAACAATGTCCTCTCTCTGGGTATTATTCTCAACCCTAACCAATTCCATTTTAATATTACATGATTTGTATGTAGACTAGGACTAAGGTTAAAGTTGAGTAGTACAAAGCTATAGTGAAATCTCAGAGCAGCTAGAACTGATCTGAAAAACAAAATTAACGCCATGCATTCTAAATTAGAACCTATAGAAGATCAAACTCATTTGATTTGTATAAGGAATGGTACACATCAGGATATCACTACTATATCTGTATACCTTTTCATTATACATCAATAGTACAAAACATCTTTCAGAATTAAGACAATGGCATTGTATTCACTAATGGTACATTAATAGTAGTGGTACACTCCAGAAGTAATTTCTTAAAAGGCTGGTCATTTCTTTAAGTAATGACTGTATTGCTACTATTCTTTGCAACCTCTCCTTTTTGAGAAGGGCATCCTATAACTGATTATGTGACAGCAGAAGTTGATGCTTTTAACAGCTTTATAATGAATAAGAAATTAAGGCTTAGCATTACTCATTGCATGCCAATTTCATGAGGGGGGACACAACCTCAATAAATGGTTATTTTTGCTATTTACAGCAGCTTAGTAGTCTATTAGTGTATCTGCAGAGAGTTATACAAGTTACTGAAAATAACAGGTATATAAATAAAATAGATTTAACTCTCTCTGGCACGCCACTAACTTTTGTGGCAAGTTTCTTAGCTGGAAGCACATCTATAACTTTAGGGTAATTGCCTACCTCTGTTGTGTATTCCTTTTTGTATGTTTGACTGCAGAATGTTTATGGTTGGCTGTATTATTTTCAATATACACCTTTTAAAGTTATACCAATAAAACAAGTGCAGAAACCCACTTTCATTTTCCAGGTTTATGTGCAACATATAACACATTGCATCAAATATACATGCATGTTTACTGGAGCTAAACTGCTTTGTACAAGAACTAGGACTCTTCACTCAATGAGTTGCTTCTTAGTCAATGTTCTCCAATCCCTGAAAAATAAAAAGTGAAACACTCTTAACTATCCATACAGAATTTACACCAATCTCACTGCCCCGTTTGCGTTTCTCAGAAAGTACACATCTTTTTCTAACCATAAATTCCTCAGCAGAATAAGAAGTTAGCATTGTCCAAAAAACATGCAATTTTTAAAAAAAATGGGGGGAAAGAATCACAAAAGCACAATTAAGCAAACTCTAGTGATAGCATCACAGAAGTTACAAAGGGAAGAGACCCAATTCATCAAGGCAACCCTGTGCAAATTATACCATCCCTACGTACCGTGACTGAAGGTGATCTGAAAAGGTTTTTCAAAGGAATGTTCTTTACATTAGATATTTAGGTCTTGTCTGCTCAGGAACACTCTATGCTAACTGCAGAACCAGTGAAATTACATCATTTTAGTGGAGAGTGAAAAGTTGAGCAATTCAGAGGGAAAGGAATTTTGTCACTGTTTAAAATTTGTGTTAACCCCTAATTTCACTTTAATGACTAAATAAGGCTTGGGGAAAGGATGTAACAAATTAAACATTCCAACCCCTTCTACTAATGCGACAGCTCATAATACACATGCTTAGAAACATCCCAGAGACCCCTAGAAAAAAAACAGACCAGGCCATTTCTAATAAAATATTACAGGCTTTCTTTGTATGTTATAAAGCAACAAATACAGGCACTCAAAAAAGCCTTTTGCATGTCACCTTTAAGTACTAGCAGTAGCAAGTCTTCACTGAAGATATCAAGTGAGAATGAAAAGACACTAAATGCTAAAAGAGTCAGGCTTGGGGTGTGCACAGAAGATTGCATCCAGATTTGAACCCATCAAAGCAAGCCAGTCCACTGATTAGCTGTATGACAATGCATTAAAAATAAGCACTTGTTGTCTGCACCAGTTAGAAGGCTAAGTTCTACCCTCAGTTACCATCAAGACTGAAGTAACAGAGAGCAGAACCCAGCCAAGGGTCTAACTCAACTCAAACAATAGCTAGTGCTCAATGCAGAGACCTACAACTGTCATTTTCAACTCCTGGTTAGTTGAATTTTGAGGCGTTTGGATTTTGCAGAGTTCAGCTGCCTTGTATTTATAGATCTGCTCCGTCCTAGGTTGGAAGGAATTTACCTTGGACCGATAGTATTCATTAACCCCCGACAGTCGCCTGTCTCTTTCCATCAGGTACCACTGGTAGGGATGGCGAGCGATTCTCTTTTCCTGCACACACAGAGCAACGTGTCACCGCACTGGGAGAACGGGGCTTGGACACGGCGCGGAGAGGGGAGCAGGATCGTGCCGCCTGGCCTGGCCAGCGAGCTTGGGCTCGGACAAGGCCCCAAGTAGTTCCCGGGGTGGGGGAAGGGGAGCGGCGCTCTCTGCTGGACTCCAGCGGCTCGCTCTGCACAAGCACCGGCTCCCCCCACAGCGCCCGCTCCCCCCTCGCGTCAACTGTCCCCCCCCAGCGCCCGCTCCCCCCCCTGCGTCAGCTGTCACCCCCCCTCCCTTTCCGTCCGGAGTCGGCCCAGCCCCGGCCCTGACCTTGCCCCCGTTGAGGTATCTGTGGATGTGGATGAGGGACACGCCGGGGATGGTCAGGAACAGGCCCATAATGGCCGCGCTGGGCAGGATCTCGTACCACATCCCGGCGTCCGCTCGAGCCGCTACCGACCGCTACGCTAGACAGCCGACCCCAGGCCTGCAAACGCGCATGCGCAAGCAGCCCCAAGTCGCCTGCGCATTAGCCCCGCCTCCGGACTACCCCCAGGGCACCGCCTACCCATCATGCATCACGACGGCGCGCCGCCGCCATTGTGCCGAGGCAAAGGCCGCTGAAGGGTCACGAGTGCAACAGCGATAGGGCGGGGCTAGGCCCCCCCGTGACTGTGGCGGTGGCGGCGCTTGGCGTCCCACTAGGCCTGCCACGGCTGCCGGGAACTTCCCGTGGCCCCGACGACCTGCCTGCTGGGAGCATGCCGGGAGCGGCCGCCCCCGTTAGCCCCAGTGCATGCTGGGAACTCCCAGCCCCACAGTGCTGTATCCTTGAGGAGGCGCCGCCGGCGCCAGGCGGCGGTTCGTGGCCCTTTAAGGCTGTGATCCCGCGAGAGGCGCAGCAGCCAATGGGCGAGAGGGGGCGTGGCTCGCTGGCCGGAGAACGGGATGAAGGAGGATAAGGAGAACACTAGGCCTAAAGAGAAGCGGGCGCCCGGGGGCCCCCTGGAGCTCAGGGGGGGCGGGGAGCCCGAGCGGCTCGAGCGGCCGAAGGACAAGAAGGAGACGCTCAGCAAGGTGAGGCTGGGGGCGGGGCCCTCGGGACCGCTGGGACTGAGGCTCCCTAGCTCGGGGCTGGGGCTGGCGGCGCTTCCCCCTCTCCCGTGCCCCGGCCTGCGCTCCTGCCGCCTGCCCTGGGCCCTGGCGGGCTGCTCCGTAGAGCCCAGCGCCTCAACCCCCAGACGGGGCCTGTGGACGCTGTTCTGGGGATGGGGCCAGGCAGGCCCAGGGCGCCGGGCCAGTATCTGGGGGTGTCTCGTTTTTTCGGTGCCCAGATCTGATGGTTTGCCCAGGCAGGTGCTGAGCTCGCGTGGCGCTTTGAGTGTTGGCAGCACTCTGCAGAACCAAGGCCTGGGTGGCATCCGGACCCACTGGCCACCACGTGGGAAATGTTTGGCCCAAGTCACTTGCCCAAAGTAGCAGTTAGTGGTAGACTAGGGAACGGAGCTCCGGAATCTTGCCTTTGAATTCCTTGCTCTAATCACTTAGGGCCTGAGACTGTGCCCCTTGGGAAGTGAGGAGGAGTCTTTTCTTTGACTTAAGTGGGTGCTGGATCCGGCCCCCAGTCTTTCTGTGCTTTCTTGAAGAATTGTGATGTTTCTAGATCACTCAGTACTTAAGATATAAAAATGGCATTGAAGCCAGGCTGGGTGAAATAGATTTGACATTCTTGACATGAGCCATAGTTGTTGACTTAGCTTTGTTATCCTATGGCATCTTTCAAGTAACCTCTGAAATAAAGTCGGGCAGACAATAATTTTACGCTCTTAAAATTCTTGTGTTTAAGGTGGTAATTCGACGCTTGCCTCCCAGCTTGACTAAGGAACAACTTGAAGAACATCTTCAGCCTTTGCCTGAACATGACTATTTTGAATTCTTTGCTAATGATTCCAGGTACAACACTTCAGGTTTCAATTTTTTCATGTAACTCTAGTATGTCAATTAATTTACACTTGTCTATAGTGTGTATAGTTAAAATCATCAGCAACAAGCCAGCTTCATTTCCTTACACATTGCTATTTTTCTGTCCTTTTGCAGTTTGTATCCTCACATGTTTTCCAGAGCATACATCAACTTTAAAAACCAAGAAGACATAGTACTGTTCAGGGATCGCTTTGATGGTTATGTTTTTGTTGATCACAAAGGCAAGTAAACATAAAACTTGGTTATATACTAAAATGTTTGTATGTCAGCTATATTAAATGAGATTTAGGAGATTGTCAGGTAGTTTAGTCCCAATTTTTTTTTCTTTTAGCGCCATAACTATACTTGGGCACCATATATCGAGATTAAATACGGGGTGCTTGCATGTAGTCTCTTCGATAAACTTCATGACACTTTTTGTAGTAGATTTTAAATACAGCTTAAAATAATAACAATAAAATCCCCTTTTTAAAGCAGTATTAGTGCTAAATTTTCTAAACAAACTGCTTAAGAGGAATTCTAGCCCATTAGTAATTTACATGTATATAATCTAAGTTTAGTTAACTGTCATTTCAGTATGTTATGTGTTTTTTTGGGAGCATTCAGCACCTAATACTAAAGCCTTATAATACTAAGGCTGATATCCTCTAACACACACATTCTGGGTGAGATTCTGGCTCCATGGGAGTCTTGCGCACTGTTTCCAGTTGACTTCCAGAATTTCACCTGAAATTCTTGTTTTATTTGGATATTTTTATAGATATATTTTTATTTTTTTTAAGAGAGATTTTACTTTTAATTTTTTTATTTTTCATCTTCCACCAACCAGTTGCTTTTTGTGAAATGGAGCTATGACAATTGAAGTCTCAGTTATTCAGAAGGCATTGAGTGGCCAGCTTCATGTTCCAAGCATCAATTTAAATTACCTAGATTCTCTGAAACTACTTCTCTGACAAAAAAAGTCCATGCAGAACAATCATATTGGATTTTGTCAAGAACAGAAATTTCCCCTTTCTCCATATTCCCAGTTGAACACACAGAGCTCTCTCTCCCCCTTCCCCACCCCCCCAGTGAATGAAGCAGGAATTGGGGGGTGGGGGGGACAGCATGTGATCATAACGCATAACTATCGGGATGCTGAATTAAGGTTGCCTGAGCAACCTTAGCTCTGGCATTTCCTAACTTTTGAGTATTACATTTTGCAACTTTAACTTTCTTTTAATGTAGTTTTGTATGTATTTTGTGTATAGGCTGGAAAGTGCTTTGAGATCCTCTTGTGATGAAAGGGTTATAAATAATGTTGTCATGTGGTCAGATATATATAAACATAAATTTCATAGCTACTATCTGTTCTAGTATTGTTTCTTATAAACACGCCCCAGTGTCCCTCCCCCAATATAATACACTGTCAGGAATTTAGTGTGTTGTGTTTTTTTTTATCTTGGTGATTAAACAGTTTTAACATTTTACATTTAACAGGTCAGGAGTATGCTGCCATAGTAGAATTTGCACCTTTCCAAAAATCTGCAAAAAAGAAGAATAAGAAAAAGGATGCCAAAACTGGGACTATTGATGATGGTATAACTACTAGGGTTGGTTGTTTGTATGCATGCATATGTGGAGATTTATGTGGTGCATGGTATCTAATAACAGCAATTTGAATTTATTTTGACTGTGTGGTGTCCTAGTGTAACAATATGTTTGATACTAAACACTTAACGTGCAACAATTACATTTCTGTTTTTCAAAATAACTTGTCTGTTTTACTATAACAAAAGTACTTAAGGTATTATTGATATTATGATAGTACCTAGTGGTCCCCAGCAAGGGATAGGGTCCTGTTGTACTAGCTGACACTCACACATGTAATGAAAAGATGGTCCTTGTCTTAGTTAGCTTTTGTAGGCTTGGTACACTAGAAGAAAAACAGACAATTGCAAAACCAATAAAATATCTTAATAAGCACACTATGGAATAAAGTAGTTAAAATCTTGCATTATTACTATTGTGTACTTTACAAAACATAACCAGACATGGTTCCTGCCTCAGAGTTAGATTTGACTTGGCTAAAGATAAATATTGGGCAGCAGCTCATAAGACTATATGACCCATTCTTGTTAGTTCATAAGTTTGAAAATGCAGAGTGACTATTGAAATTCCCAGAAATGGGGTCAGTATGTGTATTTTGTAGCACAAACCAATCTTTCTCTCCAGACCCAGAGTATAAGAAGTTTTTGGAAAGTTACAGTGCAGATGATGAAAAGTTAACATCGACTCCTGAAACACTACTAGAGGAAATAGAGGCAAGAAACAAAGAGTTAATAGGTATGAAAACTTGTATGTGAACCTCTTCTCACAGTATAGGAAGACATACGAAGTACAATATTTTGTAGGTTTGTGACTTTTGAACTTTGGGGACTCTACATTCCTTTTTAGATTATTTAGTATCATTAAGTCCTTAGAGTAATACTACTAGTGAAGATCTACTTTATTCATCCCTGTTCCAGTCCCTCTTCTTAGTTTAAATTGCATATAGTAATCTTCTCCGCTACCCATACTAAACACCTGTGTTATGTGCTGTTAAATTCCAGTGATGGGTGCATTGGCTCCTTTAATATTAGTACTGTGGGATGGGAAGTGATATATAAATGTAAGTTACGACTCATTTAGTTTAGCTAAAACATTAAATGAGGAGACCTAGCCATTTATAAGTAAATGAAGAGTATACATTTTCAAGAAGAGAGAGAAGTTGTGGTACAAGTAAGACTGAAACCGAGCAAAACTTAATATAGACTGAGATAAGACTTTCCCATCTAACTTATGCAAACATATCTTGATATTTGTAAAGGCAAAAATATTTATGTTCTTAATGTTTATTTAGCTAAAAAGACAACTCCCCTTCTGAACTTCTTGAAAAACAAACAGGTATGATTTCTCTGTATAATCTATGTAGAATCTTTTTGGTTACAGTTTTTGATAACTTGCTCTTAGAACTTGTGTATGTACAGTGATGTCTGTATAGTAAAATTTTCTTTTGTGGTAAATGGATCTAAAGACCTTGTTTTAAATAATTCTCCCAGAGCTACAGAATTGTTCAGGTAGGTGGGAGCACTTCCTGCTTCCTTCTCTCCTCAGAAGAAAGTTGTGAAACTTTTAAAAAAAAAAAAGGGCAGGGACGGGGGGGAGGAAACGTCTTACAACTGATTGTTCTGCTACGGGACTGCATCCTGCTGCCTAACTGAATCCATGCTGCTCAGCAGATGGTAAGTGTAGTGGAGCAGATCTAGTGCATGCTTGCAGAGGAAAAATATAGTGTGTACAGGGCCCCTTAGTCTAATAATTATAATCATGTTTAAAATGGGGTGGGGTTTTCTTGTACTCTGTATCCCAAATACTTGGGTTCATGCTTAACAAACTGTGCGTTTTAGCAGGGATTGATAGTGGCTTCCAGAGAATTGATATCAAGCTATATTTTGCTTAACATGGTGGTTTAATAACAGTCCTTGTCACAGTGGAACACTGAGCGATGTGAGCTGCAGCTGTGTGACTGGCAAGCCATCTTC